CGCTCAAATTACCCTTGGTTTTTAAACGAGATTTTAGACTGAAGCTGCAAAGCATCCGAAACGTCGGGCCGAGTTAACATTTCAAAAAGTTTAACTAATATATCGTGTTTTATACAAGGTACTCACTATAGACAGTATGTAATTTTTTTTTCCAAATTCTTTTCCATGATTCTTTAGCTAAAAATCTAATATCAATTTACTCGTTGGTGGGACAGCAGACAAAATACCTTTAGTTCATGATTTTAAACTTTAGGTCACTGTTCGTTCTATATACTACAATCACCCATGCATAACACACTTGAACTAACGCAAGTTCCATAACAAAATCAAACCTTTTACATTTATTGAGGCGTAGAAAGTTATATGAATTCAAACAATAGTTTAGTGACGTCACAATCGAAAATAATTTACAAGATCTTTGATACAACTATAAGCTAATAAATGACGAGTCGGGTCTTCAATTCCCATAAGATTTAAATTTTTAAATCAAATCAGCACGTTTTGCCGAACCCCATCTAGACCCCATAATACAATAATAATATAACCCATCGGTTATTCAAGGCTTTTGTACAAGCAATATACTTCGGGTTGTGGAGGTTCTTCTCAAATTTGTCAAAAATTAAACCCAGATTGGTAACAGAGACGTATTAGGAGTGAAACGTCAACAGAATTACCTTCTTTATTATAAGACCCTTCATATTGACACGTAAAATTACCTCAAGCACAATATAAGTTTAAAGTTTGCATTTCCGTTGATGATTTGTTTTAAAGTCCCATTAAAGATTCAAGCTTGCAACAATTTAATCCGTTAGACTCCACCAGTTCCATTTAATGGCTGTACGCATTAAAGCGGTATATCATCAGCTTAATTAAGATTTCTCGGCGAAAACAGCAAGACGGAGCGATTCATTTGCTTAATTCCACTCTAATTTATTTGGCGCGTTTTTCTCGAGCACGGAATAGATGTGGAAAGTTTGAACTTCATATAAATCGCCTGGTTCTATTGAAATAATGAAAATGAAGAGTAATAGGGGGCGTTTTTTATTTGGACATCATTGTGTTAATCCTAAGTTTTACTGTTAAAGTCAATGAAGTTCAGTTCTATGAAGAGCCAACTAGTTTCTACAAATACCAATTACGTTAAGACAGATGGCGCTAGCGTAGCGAAGTTGGTTTTTAAATTGAGGACTCCCATTTTTAGCCCCACAGATCATAGCATCCGAAACGTCAGGGGGAGTTAAAATAAGTTAATAGTGTATTTCGCGTTTTAACTGTTAAAAGCTATTTACTTAATACTCAATATGGTGCGAAACATAAACAATAAAAGTCAAGTGTATGTTTTAATATAATTACTTACATGGACCAAAATTTGCATAAACATAATTTGGCTATCAGTGCATAGAAATGTTAATACTTACTTGTATAAGAATTTACGAATATATCCTTTGTGCAGCAGTCAAATTATTAAAATTATAAAGGCCGATACATATTTACAACATCCCAACATGGGTTCGAGTCTCGTCCGTTTCATTGATTTTGTATATTATTAAATAGATTTTTATATTATGTAAAATTTATGCGAAAAAAATAGTCTCCTTTTTTTTTTGTTTTTTGTTAGATTAAAAATATGTAACAGGGCGTTTTATTACTGGCGATAAGTAAGAATTTCTGAGAATAGATGAAAAAGCTAAGTGCCTTACTAGTTCACTAATTTATTCTTCACTTAAAGAATTTCTCAAATATTTGTATTCAAGGCGGTTGCAAGCAAAAGCTAATTACGAACTGACAGGAGTGTTATAACTAGACTTGCAACGAATAGTATATTCGGCAGTATACCGAATACCAATATTCGGCGAGACTGACCGAAAGCAATATTAGGAAAAGTATTCGGTGGATTTTTGCTCCAAAAACTTGTACAGACGTGATTGTTTCGCGCTCCTTTGTTTTGTTCTAACGTACTCGTTATTATTATGTACCAATTACTACTATTATAGTATTATTTATTTATTTATTTATTATAAAGACAATTAAAACAGGATAGCCACTTAATTAATTGGATTTCTATCCAATATTCTATTGTGTACTCTGTAAAAAGAACACTTAAAATAGAGTATGATAATTACATTAGGAAAAATTTAAAAATCAGAAATTCTCTCAGTATTGATGACCAGTGATCTGCGAAAAGATCACATTTGGGTCTTAACTTGAGGAGAGCGTTGAGTGAGGTTAAAATTCGTGGTATCGGCGAAAACGCGAGAGCAGAGGTGCGACCTCTCGGGACGTCAAAGAGATCGTGTCTTCTAGCGTGCATAGTTGTTCGGTACAAACAGTCGACAGAAGGCTCCCTCAAATAAGTATCATCGATTTGGTTTCGAAACAATTACAATACAACTAATTGCCGAGATCTGCGACTTACAAGAGAATTAAACAACTTCCTAATAAAAACAAGGTAGGATAAAGTAGGGGTAAAAACTATTGGTGTTTGTAAAGAAACCAGAAAGGCTTTTGGATCTTCTCAGCATGAGTATATATTTTTCCTCTGAGGGTTCCACAATTTACAATTATTTTAAAAATAAATTACTAAGAATGATTTTTTTCATTACAATATTTTTAGATTTTATTTATATTCTATTGGCAATATATTAGATATTCGGTATTGGATTAACAGGATCCAATATAACCATATTCGTTGAAGTCTAGTTATAACTCAAAAGCTTATTGGTGAATTCTCTACGCTACCAGAATTTATAGTTTTCTCAGAAAACACTCTTTAGAATATCGCATGGTTGACTATTGACTGCATACAATAGTGACACAGTTATATAAATAAAAAGTCGATTTTAGATTTTAAAACATTAACGACAAGGGCAATACTAAAAATCACAGCGCACTATAATGCCCTCATGTGCAAAAACATGTGAAAAATATTAAAGTTCTCAAGTGTCACAGTTCCTGTTCTGTTTCTCGCATGGCAACCACCGTCCACAGATCCACAGATGAAAACGCCGTCAAGTTTAATCGCGTTTCGATTTTAGTCTGTGGATTCGATTTTTGAACATCTGACAGCGCATCATGTTTAGATGCTATAGGTTGGTGTATATCACCTACCATCAAATGAACCATATATTTGTCTATCCTCCTCTATCATAAAAAAAAGTTTAAATAAAACACTTTGACGGTTTAAAACGCGATATATTAGTTAAACTTATTTGAAAATGATTTTTAACTTCGGCCCTACATTTCGGATGCTTTGCAGCAGCCGTGGTCACGGGGAGATAGTCTCCCCGTGACCACGTGACGTGATATAAAAAATAGTTATTAACCCCTCGTGTCTGAACGTTAAGTGAACGTGTAGTATAGGTAATGGTAAAACGTTCATTGGAGCATCGAAACAAGGAGCCTAGGCCCAACCGTGGGACAATAGGTTGTAACAAACTACCATATTACCTATATATAACTAAAACTGTAATTGCCGTCACAAATTCTCTTTGAACTAAATTTGATAGATATATAGAAGGCGCTATTATACCAACACATTGGATCATACCATTTAATTGAGAGTTGTAAATTAGTTTCTCTACGTGTCTGTAGCGTGTTCAAATCCGCTTTGATTGACAAACACAATGTATATTTGTGGAAAGGGTATAAACGGTTTTGAACAATATCGGAGGTTGGTATGTTTATTGTTAAGGAATTTATAACTATAAAATATAGATATAGAATACATAATACTAAATTATCAGATTTTCATTATAGAACTTCGCTTAAGGTACTTCTCCACAGTCTTTTAGGTTTTTTAATTAATATTATTGTGCATTTTATTAAAGTGAAAGTCTTGATATTGTCTATAGTTTACGCGATTAGTACACATTATAAAAAAAACACTTTAACGGTTTAAAACGCGATATATTAGTTAAACTTATTTGAAACTGATTTTTAACTTTGGCCCGACGTTTCGGATGCTTTGCAGCAGCCGTGGTCACGGGGAGACTAAAGATGGAGGATTTCTCTGACGTAAAAGTAAAGAATTGCTACGCTAGCGCCATCAGTTCCATCGAAGTTGGTATTTGGCGAAACTGGCCGGGTCCTTACAGAATTGACTAACAGTGTCTTCGCGTTTGCCGGTATGCTGTTTATTGGGGTTCAGAGTTTTTAATATGGGATCCCAGGTGTTTGATAATTTGAGGCCGTCCTTCCTTTTGAAATTTCGGTGTTTTTTGATTTCACTGCGTCGTCATCAAGAATTTCCGACATCTATTGGTTATAGTCTGACGTATTCATCACGACCGTGGCGTTTCCCTTGTCAGCACGCAGTACTATATCTTCGTTCGCTCTTAGTTGTTTGAGAGCAGTCGACTCCGCTAGGGAAAGATTGTGACCACGGCTGCTGCAAAGCATCCGAAACGTCGGGCCGAAGTTAAAAATCTTTTCAAATAAGTTTAAGTAATATATCGCGTTTTTAACCGTTAAACTGTTTTATTTAAAAGTCTTGATATTTCGAAACTAATTTGTTTCGTAGTTCTCAAAAAGAACACTATTAAATTTTAATTTTGATATTTCTTCATAAAACCAATTCTTACCTTTATACCGTTATTGGAAGCACGTGTGGGCCAATACAACTAATAATAAAACCATTAAAAGTAAATGCTGAAAATAACGTGAACAAGAAATATCGTTACCTGGAATACTTTTCAAAATGACTTTGTTTGTATTTGAGGTAACGATATGCCTTGGCCGATACCGATGATGGACAATCAGCCTCCCCGTGACCACCGTGAAATTAAGCAAACAATTTTCCATCTAAGAGACTCAGAAAACCGGCGATCTATGAGCTCCAATGCGCTTCGTAACTTCTGTCACCAAATTTTAAATGACCACATAAACTTTTTTGCAGCAAAGTTGTGCAACTCCGCTAAGCACCACAGTGTCCGTATTACAGAATTTCCACTCTTAGTCGCGACAACTTTCAAATTTAATATTCATAGAACAACTTCGGTCTATTACCGGCGACGGATTTTATCAAAGTTCTGTGATGGCTCGGACAAGGATGATATAGAACTCGACACTATACTCACTAGAGGTATAGGGCTGACCACCTGGACGCCAATGTATAAAAAAAACATTTAGATAAAACACTAACGGTTTAAAACGCGATATATATTAAATACTTTTATTTAAATATGATTTTAATTACGGCCCGACGTTTCGTCTCTCCGTGACCACGGCTGATGTAAAGCATTCCAAATGTCCTAGTTAAAATAATTTTCTTTTAAAATAAGTTTAACTAATATCTTGTTTTAAACCGTCAAAGTGTTTTATTTGAGTGTATACTACTCGTTTAAACTACAAACAGTGTTTAAAAAGATTCTTTATATATCTCTTATGAAAGCCAACGTTTTATTTCCTCGTAAATGAAATTTTATTATAGTCATATATATTGTGAGTTACTATAGTAATATATAATAGCCACGTACACATAAAACATATTTCTAGGATTATTTTAAACTAATAAAATAAGTTTAATGAAAACTTTTTTTAATCGTATCTTAGGTATAAAATAATTAAAAACATACATTTCCTATAAAGAGACTTTTTCAAATGATACCTCAAAGGCTTTAGCGATATTCGATGTTATGTCCGACGTCACACCGCAATTCACGAGCCACGTGCTGCCACTGGCTCCGTTTTGGTAGTACTCAAGCATTCCTTTTGCGACATCTTCCGGGCTGCAACAGATATAATGATGGAATTCGACGGGCTCGATAGTCTAATGGTAGCAATGTACGGTTAATAATCAACGAGTCGTGGATTCGATCCCCACCGGGTCCAACATGTTTCTAATTCTTCAATTTATAATTTTTCTGATACATGTTAGACTTTGTCTGGAAATCTGGATATTAAATACTGTCTATAGTTTACGCGAGTAGTACACATTTAAATTAAACACTTTAACGGTTTAAAACGCGATATATTAGTTAAACTTATTTAAAAATGATTTTTAACTTCGGCCCGACTTCGGCTTTCTATTTGCGTTTTAAACCGTTAAAGTGTTTTATTTAAATCTGGATATTAAATGCGTGGTAGAATCGGGATGGTATCTTCCAATGAAGATCATTCATGAAATTGACATTCCTTTTTGCATGTAATTCAGGCACATTTTCGTTCTTAACACGAATCGGTAAGAATATTTTAAAAGATTAATTTTTAACGGAGATACCGCTCCTTACATATTATGGCGCTATTCTATGTTTTTTTTATCGCAAACGTCTTATATATATCATTTTGTACCCTGACATAAGTGATTATATTTCTTACTAATTGTGCCAGCGACTTCGTCCGCCGAATATTTATTTTGGGCAACCAAATTCGTTTTTGCAAACTCCTTCTTATTTATAAACTTAAGCGTTCCTTCCCGACGTTCTTGTAAGTTAATCTTAAAAGATAGACATATAGCATCGCGGATTTTTTTAGATCATTTAAAGAGGAATGATTCTCTCATACATATTTTTAAGTATCTCGAACCGTTTTTGCAGCGTACGCCTCAAAAACCCACAATGATGAATAATTTTCCCGAATTTTTTTTACATGTCCCGCTATATCTTCGCTTGTATTTGTCACAGGGCGATGTTTTATAGCCTTTCTCGAAAAATGTTCTAACTAACACAAAACTAATTTTTCAATTCAAACCCGTAGTTCCTGAGATTAGCGCGTTCAAGCAAACAAACTCTTCAGCTTTATATTAGTATAGATTAAGTTGAGTTACAACAGAATTGTTAGATAGATTATTTATAAAGTATGATGAAGTAATATTGATGTGTTTGTCTGTAAAACTGAAAACGTCACTAAAAAACAACAACAAATAAATATGAGTACCTCAAATGTAACTCAGTCAAACTTAGCATGATCAAAAAAATAATAATCTTACCCTTGAACTGAGCCCCTAGCTACGGCATTGTTCAATCCCTTGACGATTCCTTCGTGAAATTCCTGGTCGAAACCCTTAGACACATCCAGGATTCCTGTCAATGTGATTCCTACACACATTGTAAGGACCCGGACACCAGTTCGAGAATAATATGGTTCCATCTAAAACATCAAGGTATCTTTAATATTAACATGCCTTCTTTTTGGTATATTATAAAATAATTAGAAACAAATAACCTCGTTGAGAGTGAAATAAATTTAAATCTCACAAAGTGTTTCGATTGAGTTGAATACAAAATATGATTTAATCATTATTGCAGTCTATGCAGAATATTAAATAAAGAAGAACGAAGGATACCTTCGTTGTTAAGTATCTAATCCAATTGAGATTTTTTTTTTCAAGTAGATTAAATTTATCTAAGGAACTACTGGTTTGAATTGATTGTTTTTTCTTGTCTTAGAACATTTATTGGGGAAGGCTGATATAGAGGTATAGGCTATCAAGTATTGCGCTGTAGGCGGAAAGCAGCGGGTAATGTGCAAAAAAAAGGGGGAAAAATGTCATCTCTGTGTGTCTCCGTTGCGTACGCTTCGAAAACGGTTTAAGACGTCAAAAAATATGTATCAAAGAATGATTCCCCTTTAAATGATGTAAAAAAAATCCGCGACACTATAAGTCCGCAAGTTAATCTATTAAGATTAACTTGCGAGAACGATGGCACCCGAACGATGAGACGCGACCGATGTCGTGGGTAACACAAATTTGAATGGCCAAAATAACTATTCTAAGCGGATGAAGTCACTGACACAGCTAGTATTATATGTATTGGCTTATAATACGTATTGTTTTGTTTTCCAGTAGTAGCAAATCGTAATTTTATGATAGTATTTTTTGACCCCAATATTACATTGTCACTTGTAAGGTTTAAGAAAATTCTAGCTATATTTGTTTCTGCTTTAATACTCTCTCTCCATGCGTGCTTATAAGAACATTCGACTAGGCAGTGTATTAATTCTTATAACTACTAATTACGCCTATTATGTTTTAAAAAACACACTAGTATTTTTTTTTAAGAATTTACTTACACCAATGGATCTGCCGAAATGTATAAGCGCATTCTTCAAAGAACCATATACGAATAACCCGGGACAGAACGCCTTCAGGCCCATTATGGAGGATAAGTTGATAACCGTCCCCCCTTTCCCACCTTTGTCTTTGCGCATTATTTTAATCGCGTGCATAGTCGACCCTACGACAGCGGTCTGTGGACAGAGAAGAACATTTTACAATATATACACATAAACTTACATCGAATAGAATAGGTTTTAAGAAGACACATTTTTACCTCTTAATGGCAATTACCTGGGATGCAAGAGTCCAAATAATATTTTAAAATATTACAATAATAATATTTATTTGTTAGTTTTAAGTATCATTTTATTATTCACTTAATCAAATGCAGATTTACAGCTAAGGTCAAAACCAATTGTATATTAGTGTATTATTAAAAATGTTTGTATGAAGACCAGAGAAGTATTGTTAATTGTAAATTCGTGCCTACTCGCATATAATATTATGTAATATACAATATTGTGTTTACGCTTAAGTGAAAATGTATTTTTTGCGTAAATAAATGTAAACCACGTCTTATTATTGTATAGGTTTTACGCAAAAACTACCGATCAAATTGAAACAAAAAACGTAATAACCATTTGATTAACTCATATAAATAGATATATGGGCATTAAGTTAAATACTTTGTTTTTTCATCATTTGTTAGATTTTTCATACACTCTTTAGATTCACACAAATCTAGATATCCGTCTATACATATATGTAAAACAATTGTACTGAAAAATAATTATTAATTCGAATACCTCAAACTCCTTTAGGGTTTTTATTATTTTGATTGATATAAGAAACAAATTTATACGCTCGGATTAATTAATATAATGACGTCACGAACTTACATAATTAATAGCAACCAATTTCTTATACCCTGCTTCCGACTCATCACTTATTCCCGCATTATTAAACACTACATCTAATCCACCAAAACTATCTTGTACACTTTGGAAGGCGTTGAGAAGTTCCTTCTCATCGATGACGTCACATTTCAGGAATTGAACGCGATCCTTGTGACTCGTAGACAGCTCTTCGGCTAGTTTACGCCCTGCTGTTTCGTTCAAGTCCAAGATGGCAACCTGAAATTGTATATTAAGTAGTACGTTACATTAGCACGCATTCAAATCATTATAAACAAAGTTGTATAACATTGTCGTGACAATAATAATTACGTCATATATATATAATGGACAATTTATCTACTTGTTATTCGCTTATTTATTGTACGTCAAAAGTAATTAATGTAAAAAAGTGTTATAATGTTATGTAGAAAAAGGGCCGCGTTTTAAACCATTGATGTTTGAGTAGTCGAAAACTCTTTTAAAATAAAACATTTATACTTTGTTGAACTCACATTTAATTTAAACACCACCCAAAGTTTCGGATGCTTCGTGGTCACGGGGGGGTAAGGCCCCCGTGACCACGAAGCGATATTGCGATGGTAAGTTTATATTATTAGAACGATTTGAAATCTTTTAAAATAAAGAATGAAGTCTGATAAAAGTGGGTAAAGGAGAACGATACCTTAGCCCCGCCATTAAGAAATTCCTTAACTATAGCCGCTCCAATACCCATGGCTCCGCCAGTCACAACCACAGCCTGGTCTTTCAAACTATACATTTTACTAAACTGTACTCTTTCGCGGTTTAAAGTTAAATGTCATTTTAATACGTCTCGTTAATATATATATAATGTAATAAATAAATAATGTAGTAAATAAGGTAATAATTTACGCGTTATAATATGACGAAGACGTATTCATATTATTTAATTTATTTCCATTCCCGCGGTGTTACTCGTGTTTATTAATTTTAATATTATTTTTAAAATAGTCTAATGCTTAAAATCGTAAAGCTAGTCTGTTTCGCTGTCGTATAAACTGTAATTTATTTAAAACACGACCCACCCCGTTTGGAAAACTACTGAAAAACTGTGAATGTTGTATATAAAAACCTTAAAAAAACTGCATCAAAATCCGTTGCTTAGTTTCAAAGATTTAAGCGTTCATAGAGGCAGAAAAAGCGAATTTGTTTTATACTATGCAGTGATGATATGTATACTAACCTGGTGGTTTGACCTACAACAATAAAAAACTTTGGTAACTTTCCTTAACACATTTTTTTTTAATATATAGCTTTGAAGGTTAAAAACATATTAGCAAAATTTTCTCTACAATCAGGTTAAGCGCAGGAATTCCTTTTTCGAATCAACAGCTACACCATTAATGATTCACAATAATTTTCTTTGTCAACTAATTTAAAAAACATCGTGTATGTAGTCAAATTACTTTCGCGATAACTTGGTATGAAAAGGTCTATTTCCAAGTGAAAGGGGAGATCCCGTTATTTATAACGAAAAAACAAACACTTATTTGAAGGTGTTCGAAATTAATTTTTTTTTTCGAAATAATTTATTACAGTGATAATATTTTTGGTCTAATTAATTATACTGTTCACTTTTTTAAAGATCCGACAAACTATTCATACCAACAACGTTAGTTCCTTTTATCTTCCGTCAATTTTCATAGGATAATCAAAGAAATACATATTATAATATATAATGCAGTTGGATGTTCATTTGGAACAAAATTATAAATTAGTAATTAAAATTCATTTTCCTTACTTAACTTAACTGAAGGTAGAAAAGTATTTGCATTTGGTAGATAAATTGCAAATAGTTGTAATAAATTTTAATAACCTCTATTTGACTTTTAAGACAGGAAACGATGTTTTTATCTACAAAGAGCAAAAACAAAACATGAGGAACTTCGAGTTAAAAAAAAAACAAACGACGTATCGGTTTTATATATATTATAAGGGTGAAGAGTGTGTTTGTTTGTTTGAATGCGCTAATCTCAGGAACTACTGGTTCGAATTAAATAGAAAATTATTTTAGTGTTGATTAGTACTTATCGAGGAAGGCTATTTATTTATTTATTAACTTTATTAATTACAAACACCACAGAAATGGTTTACAACAATAAATTCTTATGTACTAGGTCATAAAATTTATTTTTTTTGAAAATTTAAAATATTTTTTTATATTATTGAAAAGTTTTAAAAGAGAGTATTAAATTGTTATCCAAAACCAGAGAGGTCACTTGGATAAAAGTCGTGTCTTTAATTGGTAAAAAGTGAAAATTCCCTCAATAAGATCATCGATTTGGTCATAACTAAAAGGCGGCCTTATCGCTAAACAGCGATCTCTTCCAGGCAACCTGAAGTGAAGGGAAAAACAAAATCGCAGCTATTTAGCATCAATAGCTGCGATCGATAGGAGCGGCGAAATGAGGAGAAAACGGGAAACATTATGCATCTACATGGGTCTCCTTTGCGTTTGCTGTATATGTACTAAAGAATAATTTATAGTTTATCTGTAAATGATCTAAACATATGTCTGTGACTTCATTATCTTTAAAGACTACCTTTAAGAACGACGGGCCGCGATCTATCAGTTTAAATTTATAGAGTTGAACACAATAACTACGACCTCATCTATACAGCTATTTACAAATATAAATCAAATCCTTAATCAGAGAAGAGAATAACTTAGTAAAATCTTACGGCTATAACTTCGTAAACCGCAAGTTCAGTGCGAATTAGTGAAATTCAAGCGAACTGGTATCGTGGATTTACACGCTGGCTTATTGCCAGATGCAACAGGTCCACTTTACATAGTTTAACGCTATTACTTGCTAATATAGATGAGTATCAGGGGATGGGTTGTGCTGATAACCACCTGGGAGGGGCAGTCATGACAATTATGCTAGACGAGCTCTCTGTGTCTTACTAATGTTTAATAAGAAATAAGTTTGAAAGTTTCCATATCTCTTACATGTTATTGCGCATAATTGCACTATATAAATAAAGAATCGATTTTAGATTTAAAAAAAAATTTACTATACATGCAGGACTCGAACCGGCATCCACAGCATTCCGTGTGTTGGTCTTTTTTATGGAGCTCAATCCGTAAGTCTAAAAAAAAACGACGTTAACTTACGTTTCATCGTTTTTTTCAACGTATTGATACATGCACTTTTCGCGCTATGTATTTTCAACCTTAACACTTGCGTAATAAGGTTAGAAGATGACTTATAGGACACGGTAGCTCAATTGATCAAGAAGCAACAGCATGGAACGCCGTGGATGCCGTAAAAATACGTTTTTTTTTTAAATCAAAAATTTAAAAAATATATATTATTATTTTGAGAAGTTGTGTGTAAATCTGTGTCTTGTGGTATCAGGCACTTTAGGACAAACTTCTCTTATGAGATGAGGATATTTGTGACCAGCCGTGGGACATTATTATATTTAAACAAACAAAGATAAAAGTACAGTAATGTAAAAATAAAATTACGATAAATCGATCGTGAGCAGACGCATATAAAACATGCTGTAAAGTTTTAATATCCGTTGCACCTGTAGTATGAACGTTTAATAAATGCTCCACAAAGTCGCAATATTGCCTTTGAAAACCGCGCCCGATTTAATACTGTGGCCATAGATCAGAGAGATGTAGACACCTCGGGTTAATATAATTTTCAAAGTCTACAGTTAAGGTTTTTTTATGATAGAGGTAGAAAATGGTGTTTACTAGAGGTGTTTAAAGCTCCAGCTGTATAACCGTATAAACGATGTGTTGTTGACTTTTTTTGGCTTTGGATATTAGATATAGATAATCGATGCGCGATTACATTTGACGACTTGTTCATATGTGGAGGGTAGTTCATAACCCGATTGGAATTTAGATATTCCTACCACCCATTTAGTATCCAGATTTCCAGACAGAAGGACTATAAATTTAATAGAAAAATGTTTGGACCCGGTAGAAATCCAACCCACCCCACTGATTATTAGCCATTCATTGCCATTTTACATTACACCAACGGGCCCGTCAAAAAATATCGAGGAAGAGTATAATTTACCTTTGGTACCCTTTTAAATAAAACACTTTAACGGTTTAAAACTCGATATATTAGTTAAACTTATTTGAAAATGATTTTTAACTTCGGCGTCGGGCCGAATTTCGGATGCTTTGCAGCTGCCGTGGTCACGGGGAGACCCTTTGGTACCCTTTTTGCTTTTACATTGAAAATAAGTATAAGTAGTCATATGGTAATTAAATTGTGTCATTTTGTCTAAAATTATCTGTCAAATATAATTAAATAGTTGACTTTACTCCGGACAATGCCTTTTATGGCCACACAGACGGTCCATTTAAAAAATCTGTTAAACATAAGCGTGCGTTAGTTCAGTAAAGTTTGCTCTTAGAGAAGTCCAAATGTTTATAGCTCTGTGAAACATTTAAAAATCTTTTCAGTGTCGCGCACCAAAATGAAAGCATAACAGAAGCATCTTATTGTGCTGAACAAATAAAAAGTCACAGGATGTTGTAATATATTACGGCCAACATAAATAACGATGGCAAAAGGATCTTAATATTATATGTTAACGTTGCAAAGTATATGGGATACTTTAGTAAAAGTAATAAAAAATAAATAAAGATTTGGAAAGGGATGTGGTTAGTTAAATATTATTATTATAAAGCAAGATCTACCGAATAATTTTTGTCTTTAGTGTATCTCTAGAAACTGTAGCATGATATGATATGTGTTATACACATATATATCATGCATACATACATATATGTATCTGTAGTTTTCGCAAGTAGTACACTTTTTAATAAAATACTAGTGCCGCTTATGATGTCGAGCCGTAAAATTATTAAAAAAAGTTAACTGATATATTTCGCGTTTAAAAACGTTAAAAGTGTTTTATTTAAATATTATTATCATATATTTATTTGGAATTTTATATGGTACTCAAGAGGCTTAAAAAGAAATAAGACAGGTAAGAGGATGGCAGATTGACATACACAGGATGGCAAGTCCAGACTGGAGAAGACAGGCAATTCTTATATAAATATATGCAAACAAAACAAAAAAAATCTAAAAATCGCTCTTCTCGGCATGCTAGGTAAAGGGTATGAAATTTTGTAACCCTTCTGGGCTGTCTTAATTAGTTTATATTCGCATTATTTATTTCGCTGTTCGAACCTTCGGTCAGAGGAAGCAGACTGAAAAACAGCGCTGTGCGATCCCCTTCCTTCCTTCAGCATTCAGCTGAGTCTACATCCCGACGTATCACAAAAATTGTAGCTTACGAATTAAACTTTAAGTATTCTAATAAATTGTGTAAGGCTTTCCCGGCTATCTAATATATCATTGGTTTTCGGGCTGTTCGGCCGAGGTGAGCGAGAATAGGTTCTCGACGTTTCGCCATCACGATCGGGCGGCATCATCAGGAGATGTTGTTAGCTCCTCGAATGCTTGAAAAGTTATGTGAACGTCGAGAAATAAAGAGAATGTTAAAAACTAATTTTTCTTTCTTTCATAACAAACCTTTCAGCTATTCGTGTTTTAGCTCGTCCGCTATTAAAACGCAGTAAAGGGGCGAAGTGTTCATTAAGTGCTGTCACTCGACCCGCGACGTGACAAGAATCGGACTGACGTGCAATGGAAATTATATTACGACAGGGCTTGATATCGAACTTGGTTCAAGAGAGTTCACGATAAAGTACAGATCCTCAAAGAGTGAACATTTCATGGTCGGGATTCGATTTCCGGTGATGTGCTGAACACAATGTAAAATGAGAAAACAATTTGACTACCTAGGTAGACTTAGGTGCCGCCTCACTAGTTAAATGGTTAAAGTCGTTGCCTAGTATTACGTTAAGTTAGTATTACGGTTTCAAGTTTCAAGGTTTCCCAAGGAAACTATAAGTTGTTTCAGCCAGGCAGAGTACAACATAAGTCTGTCGATTGCTTGTCTGTAAGTTAAAGCGATCAATAAAACGGCCACAAAAATGTGTTCGCCGCGTGCCCCACGGGAGGAAACGGGATTCCAATAGTTAATTTTACTAATATTATAATTATGAATATTGATGTTGATTAGATGAATATTCCTAAGTACTGCGTTTCCAGTATACACATTTAAACTTTCTTTAAACCTTTTTTTATTTAATTTTTTTTTTAAATTTTTTTTCCCTTCCCCCCCCTTTTTGGTGGTTTTTTCCGGGCCCGGTTGGCCGGGGGCCCCCCCGGTTTTTCCCCTTTTTTTTTTTTTTTTTTTTTTTTTTTTTTTTTTTTTTTTTTTTTTTTTTTTTTTTTTATCGTACACACAGACGTATTTAACTTCTTGAGACGATCTGTAGAGTGATGACGAGACCGTAAATCCTACAAATGTAGTGTTTTTACTTCTCTTTCTTAAATGATGAATTTCGCCGTCACAATTATGTAATTAATATATACAGCGTAAAAAGTTTGATGTACAGCTTAGACAATACGAGCGCAAATCGAGAGAAAAACAAACAATTAATATTCACTCCTTAATTTTGTTTTCATAGAAAATTAATTTTTTTCGGGGAGAGACGCGAATTTATTTGTCGGATAAATCATTTATCTTGGCAGAAAGGGTACATTTATCCTCAGTCTAATCTTTTTATTCTCCTTATCTTTTGTCATTTGACCTTTCATTAAGGATTAGAGGACTTTTGAAATTAAAATTTACACTCTAGCCTTAATTAATTTTCCCACCCTTATTTCTTTAGAAAAACATGTTTTCTTATTTTAACAACTTACCAATTTGCTGGCGCTCAGGAACTACGAGTTAGAATAGAATAATTCATTTTGTGTTGGTTAGAGCATTCAACAAGGAAGGCTTTACCCAAATTTAGGATAACATTACCCTGTAAGCGATAGGAGCTAAGCATCAGTGGGAAATGTTAAAGGAACGGGAAAATTCATCGTTTCGTGTGCTGTTTGCGTTTGAGATACCCAAAAAATATGTTTGAAGGAATGATTTATCATAATATCCGCGACACTATATGCATATATTTCAAGATGAACTAACTATGGGACGCGGTGACGTCGTGGGTAACAGCTTTCATTTACGGAGTCCAACAGGTTTAACTAACTTAATGACCAAAGTTACTATCCTATGTGGACAAAGTCGTTAACATAGCCATATCAAAATAAAGTACATAGCAGGATAAGTATTCGAAATATGAATAACAAAATACATAGTGTTCTTTTCTTTGAATAATAATAAATTAATAGAAAAATGTTACAATATACCCATCTAATGCAATCTGTGTACCTTACTTAACTTGACCGGTTTCAATTTTACTTTGAACTCGTTCATTCTGTGCATTCATTTTGTAAAGCTTGTTATAATCGCCATTCTAGGATTAAACCAAGACCTTGGATTTCCAAAGATCTTGAAGTGATTCAACGAAATATTGCAGCCGTAATATGACGTAAACTGTTATTCGTGTGATAACGATCGTATCAATAAACAAGTAGGCATGACTTGGGACTGCTTTACGACCTCATCTCGTAATCGTTTAAGATGGCGTTAAATTTTCAGTATTACATCACGTACAGTGAAGCAAAAAGGTTTTGCGTTTTTAACACTATGTCATAAAACATAGACAATTCCCACAGCGGGGACCTGAGCGTTTTATTAAAACGTAAACCCAGACTAGCTTAGTGATTGTATCTACTATATAACAATGATAACTATCTATAAAGATTCGTAATGCGAGTGAAATCTACCTTTGATAAACATAGCTTTTATTTTCCCCAGGTTACGAATCGGAATCTAGACGATAATAACGCAATACGTTGTAACCACATTGCTTGATGTTAGTTATAATATTGCAAATATTACTACTATTATAACCTAAATATATGTCGGAGACGCGGTCATGAATACGGGAGCTGAGTTTATCGAAACGCGCGGTCATGAATACGGGAGCTGAGTTGTAGCCAGCGTGCGGGTGGGGTTGACGGTTTGAAGCTAAGTCATGGCAGCAATTCACGCCGTACCGGACGGAGCCGGGTCGGTCGAGGGATTCGTTATTGGATCGCACAGTTAGAGGATCGCACCTATACCGAATGTCCACACTATAACCACATAGTGATTTTTTAGTGTTCGAATAAAACTGTGAACGTTTAGTGTTTAGTCTCATTTCATACCCTATTAACGCCCTCAAACACTATGTCGGACGACGAGGAGGCTAGCTTACCTTTGAGAAATATATCTTTTTTTGAGAAATAAACGTCTTTAAACCTTAAACATTGCCTGTAGTTTACGCGAGTAGTACATATATAAATAATACACTTTATCGGTTTAAAACGCCATATTTATTGCAGCGCGAATATATAGACCACGTCTGCCGCAAAGTATCCGAAACGTGGGACCGTAATTGAAATAATTTTAACTAATATATATCGCGTTTCAAACCGTTAAATTGTTTTGTTCAAATATTATTACCTATTTGTTGTAATATTTGCATAATATTTCAAACGAGTGAAGCATAAATTAAAATACTCCATTTTAACTGTACATTAATTGCTGGCAAAAATTCAGTTATTTATACAAAGTTTGTGACAAATAAATCAACTGAAACGATTACCGCGCAGCGAATTCACTGCGATGCGAAAATTAAAAGTGAATTTTAGTTTGAAACTTTGAATTATTTGATTTTCAATGTTCATATTATAATTCGCGTTATAGACAAATATTAGTTATGGTCTATGAAACTAAGTTTATTTGTTTATTTATTGTTTGCTTGTTTCTTCAGTTGAACAATTATCGAGGTACACTACTAATAGATCATACTATAACTACATAGGTTAGTATTAAGTATTATCAGTATCACTTCATAAAACACAAGTACATACATATACATAGGTATATTAAAACCAAATAAGACGCAAAACAAATATTTGTATGTTATTAACTTATTGAAATCAATTAGAATGGAACACCCTGTATTGTATTTAGTTTCGCGTAACCCGATCTGAGGAGAGGTAAATAACACAGTTCGGAAGTGAGGTAACGAAATTGTTTGAGCTAATAAGACCCTTTCAGCGCGGCTCTAATTCGAAAATTCGCTCAACACAAACTAAATTACTGTAGCGCAACTCCGCCACCGGTAACTATCGGTTAATGCAATCCCGAACGAATCTAGTGTTTAGAATAGTTTTTTTGCACGTGACCGAATATTTGCTTATATAAAACTAGCTGTGTCAGCGACTTCGACTGCGAAGAATAGTTGTCTTGAGCATCCAAATTTGTTATTGCAAACCTCATTTTCAACTTTAAAAAATATAAGCCACGATGTCGGTTGCGTCCAGTCGTGATGGCAAGTTGATCATAAAAGATATATATAGTCGTAGACTTTTTTTAGGCCATTTAAAGAGGACTCATTCTTTATTTTTCTTTTTTCGAGTATCTTCAACAGTTTTTCCAGCGGAAACCCACAAAGTTTTTTTTTCCGTTAGTTTCATATTTCCCACTGTTTCTTCGCTCCTATTAGTCACGACACAATGTTTTATGGCCTTCAACCTTCCTCGATTAGTTCGAGTAGACAGTTCAATCAAGATAATTCAATTCGAATCAGGAATTCTTGATATTAGTGTGTTCAGACAAAAAAAAAAATTAAAAAATTAGTGTTACACATGCTTGGATCTACATAAAAATATTTATTAATGCTTGGAAATTTGAGCATTATTTTGACAAACTTATCTTTGATATAAATCGAACCCTCTGAAATGATCGCGCTGCGGCCGGCAAAAGTTATTATGAAAATCCGTAAAATCCAAAAAAAAACTCTGCAACATGGCGACCAAAAAGGTAACTTATCAAAGTTTTAATTTAAATTTCGAACAGGCTTACATAGGAAGTTGTAAAATAAAAATCTTGGTCGCGTAACAAACTTTTGTTATTAGTTGTTCGTCAACTTAGTCATTGGTTTTAAGCGCGTAATATTTGAAAAAAAAATACTATACAAGCCTTGGGCGCAACTAGGCATTGACGGACTCCGTTTCGCCTCGGCCTCCCATGTCCGTTCATCAATGCCTCTCTTTCCGCTCGCTGCAGTAATGTACTATTAACTAATACAATATACAAATGACTAGCTAACCTAACCAACGTTAAGTTAGACATGTAAATTATTTCTAGGAAAATTCTATGTGTAAAAAAAACAATTGCACTCAAGTGAGTAAGGACGTGTTATATAAATAAAATAGAAATTCAGAGCTAAAAAATACTATTAAAACATCAAATAATGATGCCACATTATGAAAAAAATTATAATAAAAAATAAATAAGAGGCAACAACAACCCTTATATCCAGAAAACATTAAAAAAAATATATACATTCTTTATTGTAACAAAACAAAAAACAGAACATAACACTACACAGAATTTATTAAAATTTTATGGTAATGATAAGAAATTCGCACACAAGTTTTATATCGGGAAGGCTATATAATCTTTCCTTTTAAGCTTTCATTGCGTACATTTAATATAGAAACTGTGTTTTTCAATTATGTTATCTGAAAATATGAAATGCCTTTTTAAAACGGCATAAAAGGGTATTCGTGTAACGAAATATGAACAAATGGGTCCCTGATGGGTGCTAATGAAATAAAACGTGATTGATTGACGTTAGTACATTTAAATGCTGTTTGCTTTGGGACCTATGACTAGCTGTGCCCTATGGATTTAACCGTGCTTTAGAATTCAATGGCTGTATATTATAACAAACATTTGAAGTTATTTAATCCATTATATTTTTGAATTCGTACTTTAAACGAAATATTTGGTCCATCAAAATTAAATCAAAGATAAAAAACAGCAATGTCTAACTAAAGTAGAATTAAATACTGTCTATAGTTTGCGCGAGTAGTACACATTTAAATAAAACACTTTAACGGTTTAAAACGCGATATATTAGTTAAACTTATTTGAAAATGCATCCGAAACGTCGGGCCGAAGTTAAAAATCATTTTCAAATAAGTTTAACTAATATATCGCGTTTTAAACCGTTAAAGTGTTTTATTTAAAGTAGAATTGTTTTAGTAATAAATCAACTTAATAATGACATGTACAATGACATTTGCTTAAGAATTACAATAATTTATTAAATTAGACCATTACAAGCAATTGACCTTGAAAATGTCAATTAAATTTATTACCCACTACCGGTTTAGTAGTTTTATTTTGACGGCCGGCCTCCAACTATCAAACACGTGGGATCTCATATTAAAAACTCTGGATTCCAATAGACAGCATACGAGCAAACACGAAGACATCGTTAGTAAATTCCGCAAGGACCCGGCCAGCTTTGCTAAATACCAACTTCGATGGAACAGATGCCGCTAGCGTAGCAGTTTTTACTTTGACGTCAGAGAAACCCTCCACCCTTAGCCTCCCCGTGGCCATGGCGAAGCATCCAAAACGTCGGGCCGTAATTCAAAATAATTTTCAAATAAGTTTAACATATATTTCGCGTTTTAAACCGTCAAAGTGATTTATTTAAAGAAATACAGACGCACCATTTTCAGGTGAAAATAAGCTTTTCAGACGACGCCCAATGGTTGTAATAAATAATTAGTGATATTAATTAAAATGGATTGTCCATATTGAAGATTAAAGGGAGCGAATATCTCAAGTGAAGTGCTCTCGATAAATTAGCGTCATGCTGGAGTGTTATTAATATCGACTTTACTGGTCCATCGTTTGGTGTTTTAAGTTTAATGGCTCAGGCGGGTAAAAAAGGACTTTTAATATAAGTTCTGGCTTTAGGAGTAGGTTATACTTAGATATATGAAGCACTAAGTTTAAATGATTGATATTATAATCTTAATATACTTATTAGAAAGCAGATTTACAGGAAAGGTCGAAACCGATCATGTATTAGTGTATTATTAGAAATATTTATATTTGAAATAAACCGGAGAAGTATTTTAAACCAACTGTAATTGTAAATTCGTACCTACTCGTATATAATATTATGTAATGTACAATATTGTTTACGGTTAAGTGAAAATGTATTTCTTACGTAAATAAATGTCTTAAACCTAAATAATTGTTCTATTTATATGGCTTTTCGACAGGCTTTCGATGGTTTGATCCCCATCAGTGTCTAACAGTTGTTTTGTTTTTTGTTTAGACGAGCAACTATTGGTCCGAACTAAAATTGTTGGTGGTTCTCATTGGGTTGCATAGATAATTGATTTAGGCTAATAACATCACGCTGTGACCAATAGCAGCGAAGAAAGAGTGAAATAAGGGAAATAAGGGAAAGATTTTCATCTATGAGGGCCTCCGTACCGTGTGCAAATCATCGTGCGGCTGATCGGTATTCAGTCGTATGGTATAGTGCATATTCGGTATTCGCCAAGCTCAAGCTAATTTATTAGATTCCGCTCGTCCACCGCAGTAACGGTCAGAACTTTAAAAACTATTTCCCGTATTGAAATGAACGTAGCATCAGAGCGAGTGAGTGTTAATGCAAAATAAAATTAAAACGCCACGAATCGTCTCGAGAGCGCACTCCGGTTCGTGTACTTAGCTCGTTTCTTTCGTTTGAGTTCTTCGCGATATGAGGGGGATTTTCTACAATAAAACAATCATCAAGTGGGATTTGGAAGAGCGTTAGCGAGGTTCCTTATACATAATTAATTCATTCTAATGAGATATAAAGTTAACAAGAATAAAATCACACTTTGCTCACGAACTGGTTGTAATATAAGTACTGATTGTGCGCTGGTAAAGTTAAAAATCTTTTGAAATACGAAAAATAAAACTTCAGATTACCCTCAATAATTGCTGGAACTATTCCGCAACCAAAAATGGCTAATTAATTGGGCAATAGGGGAATAAGATAAAATTAAGAAAGATAATAAGGACTCACTGAATAGAACTAGTTCAACAGGCTTCACACACTTGTAATTAGTTAAAAAGTGGTGTCGACGATCCGCTCGGTGTCCGGTAACTGACTTAATTCTGCTAGGCCTTCACTGCTTGCGTTGCGCGGGCAGGAGGGGTAAGCTATTGGTGGGAATGACTTAGAGGACATGGAACGTGGTTTTGGATACCTATTGCCTAGTTCAACCAAATCCAGTCCCGAAGTACGAAATAGCCCAACCAAGTACCGAGTTAAGAAATAAAAAAGAA